CTACTGATAGAGCTTAATGTCAGTAAACATCTTATACTACTGATAGAGCTCAGTGTCAGTAAACGTCTTATACTACTGATAGAGCTCAGTGTCAGTAAACGTCTTATCCCACTGATAGAGCTTAATGTCAGTAAACGTCTTATACTACTGATAGAGCTTAATGTCAGTAAACATCTTATACTACTGATAGAGCTCAGTGTCAGTAAACGTCTTATACTACTGATAGAGCTAAATATCAGTAAACGTCTTATACTACTGATAGAGCTCAATGTCAGTAAACGCCTTATACTACTGATAGAGCTCAATGTCAGTAAACGTCTTATACTACTGATAGAACTCAATGTCAGTAAACGCCTTATACTACTGATAGAGCTCAATGTCAGTAAACGCCTTATCCCACTGATAGAGCTCAATGTCAGTAAACGCCTTATACTACTGATAGAACTCAATGTCAGTAAACGCCTTATACTACTGATAGAACTCAATGTCAGTAAACGTCTTATACTACTGATAGAACTCAATGTCAGTAAACGTCTTATACTACTGATAGAGCTCAATGTCAGTAAACGCCTTATGCTACTGATAGAGCTCAATGTCAGTAAACGCCTTATACTACTGATAGAACTCAATGTCAGTAAACGCCTTATACTACTGATAGAGCTCAATGTCAGTAAACGCCTTATCCCACTGATAGAACTCAATGTCAGTAAACGTCTTATACTACTGATAGAACTCAATGTCAGTAAACGCCTTATACTACTGATAGAGCTCAGTGTCAGTAAACGTCTTATCCCACTGATAGAGCTTAATGTCAGTAAACGTCTTATACTACTGATAGAACTCAATGTCAGTAAACATCTTATCCCACTGATAGAACTCAATGTCAGTAAACGTCTTATACTACTGATAGAGCTCAATGTCAGTAAACGTCTTATACTACTGATAGAGCTCAATGTCAGTAAAGGTCTTATAATACTGATAGAGCTCAGTGTCAGTAAACGTCTTATACTACTGATAGAGCTCAATGTCAGTAAACGTCTTATAATACTGATAGAGCCCAGTGTCAGTAAACGTCTTATACTACTGATAGAACTCAATGTCAGTAAACGTCTTATACTACTGATAGAGTTCAGTGTCAGTAAATGTCTTATACTACTGATAGAGCTCAATGTCAGTAAACGTCTTATACTACTGATAGAGCTCAATGTCAGTAAACGTCTTATCCCACTGATAGAGCTCAATGTCAGTAAACGTCTTATAATACTGATAGAGCTCAGTGTCAGTAAACGTCTTATACTACTGATAGACCTCAATGTCAGTAAACGTCTTATACTACTGATAGAACTCAATGTCAGTAAACGTCTTATCCCACTGATAGAGCTCAATGTCAGTAAACGTCTTATACTACTGATAGAGCTCAATGTCAGTAAACGTCTTATCCCACTGATAGAGCTTAATGTCAGTAAACGTCTTATACTACTGATAGAACTCAATGTCAGTAAACGTCTTATACTACTGATA